ATTATGCTTTTAAAGATGCTGCTAACATGCCTGTAAATTCCACTCCATTTTTCTAGTTATTACTCTCCATTTCCACCTCCCTCTCTCACCTCTTGTGCTGGGTGATTTTCTTCTAAATTTTTTGTTCCCGAAATTTTTATTTCCTAGCCCACCTTTTTCTTTTATTGGAGATGGAGCCGGAGTTTGCTAAGTTTTGGGATTGCTGAATGCATGAAAATGAATTTCTAAGTTATGATTATCTCTTGGCTGGCTAATTGTTTAGTCACAGATGTGGCCTTTGGCGACCTTTCTGATGTAAATTTGTAGATGATATGCTGTTTTTTGGATATGCAGCATCATCTATGAGAGATTAGCTAAGAATGGAAGGAGATTTGAGGAGGCTACCACAAAGCATTTGAATGAATATGGGGAAGCAGGGTTACGTACTCTCGTGCTTGCCTACAAAAAGCTGGATGAGACAGAGTACTCTGCGTGGAATGAAGAATTCACTAAAGCCAAAGCTTCAATCAGTGGTGATAGAGATGCCATGCTTGAATGTCTATCTGATATGATGGAAAAGGAATTGATCCTTATTGGTGCTACGGCTGTTGAGGATAAACTACAGAAGGGAGTATGTACATTATGTTCCTCAAGAATCCGAACTAAGTTTTCTAATATTATCCCTTTTTGACTATTCCACACCTGTCCCTTTTCATCAGGTTCCTCAGTGTATTGATAAACTGGCGCAAGCTGGTCTCAAGATCTGGGTTCTGACAGGTGACAAGATGGAAACAGCCATCAACATAGGGTCCGTCTCTTATTCATAGATATATCTTGTACCATCTCATTCATACTTGTTTAGTCATTGGATTTAAGCTGGTAAAATAACACTCCTGTTTCCACGCAGGTACGCATGTAGTCTACTTCGGCATGGGATGAGACAAATATGCATAATGGCGATGAATGCAGACTCAGTGGAAAGAAGCTCTGAACAGGTAGGTTACTATAAAACAAGTTTTTTGAGTTGTTACTTGTATTATTATTCATGCCGTCTCAATTGCTCTCTTTCACTAATCAGGCTATAAGGGAGAACATTTTGATGCAAATCACAAATGCTTCTCAAATGATCAAGCTTGAAAAGGACCCACATGCTGCCTTTGCCTTGATTATTGATGGGAAAACTCTTACATATGCTTTGGCGTATGATATGAAACATCATTTTTTGAATTTAGCAGTCAGCTGTGCATCTGTCATTTGCTGTCGTGTCTCTCCTAAGCAGAAGGCCTTGGTAAGCTATGTGAAATCCATCAACCTTTTCTAGTCTAACCCAATTGTTCATTCATGAAATTGGTCATATTTACATTAATTTGTATTTGATTTGGTCACAGGTTACTAGGTTAGTAAAGGAAGGAACTGGAAAAACCACGTTAGCAATTGGTGATGGTGCAAATGATGTTGGGATGATCCAAGAAGCGGACATTGGAGTTGGCATTAGTGGTGCAGAAGGAATGCAGGTTGGTGATACATCTAGCTGGCGTTTTGGTGTTCTTAATATACTAAAAGAATTTTTACATTTTCCTTCGGACAATAACTTTATCAATACTGCATTTTAGAAATTTGTCAGGGAAATACGGTCAAAGGGGTGCAACACATGTACATTAAAGTTTACAGACTGACTTGAAACAATATGAACTTTTAAATACTGTGAACCCAAGATAACCAGATTCAACTTCCTTGTGCAATTTTGTTCAATTTTACAATTTCTTTTGGGACTAAGACTATAATGCATTTGTATTTTATTTTATTTTTTGGAATTTGGCTTATAGCTGACTGTTTGATAATATCACAAGATCACTTAAAACCTAAGCAGCAACTAAACCTCAGGCCTAATTAGGCAAAACTGATTTTTCTAGAGACTTCGGGAAACCACTACTCTTCCCATTGATTTGTAGAAAAATAGTTGTGCAGAACCTTTTACCCGTTTAAATCATGCCAGAATGATCTGACATATACTAATTTGATATCACATTTTAAATGCTTCCAAAAGTTTGAGGACATTGAAATGTGATTTGATGACTGTTTCTTGGCCACAATCTCTCCACTGTCCGATCCATCTTATCAAAGTTGATAAACTATTTAGTGCGGGCACGGACACCTTCGATATTGACAAGAAAATAAAGTGGACCAGCGACTCAGCAAATTGCATCTGTGTTTTTGAGTAAATATGACCAACTTAAGCACTACCAACTTAAAATAATCTGGAAAATCTTCTCTAATTTGGTAACATGGCCCTAAATCCATCGGCTCAAGTAAAGCATTGCTTTTGTTCTTGGAGTCTGTAAGTCGGCTTACTTGATTATTAGCTTCTTGCAGGCTGTGATGGCTAGTGACTTTGCTATTGCACAGTTTCGGTTCTTGGAGAGACTTCTTGTTGTACACGGGCATTGGTGCTACAAACGAATTGCTCAGATGGTAATTCCTCTTGATCTGTAATATTTTATGATAGAAAATGGTCATGTTTTGGTTCATGGATGCTTGTCATGTTTCATCTAACTTACTGTGTTTTCTTCATGCAGATATGCTATTTCTTCTACAAAAATATAGCTTTTGGTCTCACACTCTTTTACTTCGAGGCTTTTGCGGGCTTTTCGGGCCAGTCTGTCTATGATGATTCATACATGATTCTGTTCAATGTGATTCTTACCTCACTACCCGTGATCGCGCTTGGAGTATTCGAGCAGGATGTGCCTTCTGAAGTGTGCTTACAGGTGAGTCTACTCAATTCCTTTTTCTTGGAGTTCCTAAAAGATCAGTTTGTAGAGTAACCTCATTGAATAATAGTAATTTAAACTGTAACGACGTATGCAGTTTCCAGCACTGTACCAGCAAGGGCCCAAAAACTTGTTCTTTGACTGGTATAGAATATTCGGTTGGCTTGGCAACGGTGTCTACACCTCTCTCATTGTTTTCTTCCTCAACATTATCATCTTCTATGATCAAGCCTTCCAGGCTGAAGGCCAGACTGCTGACCTGACTGCTATGGGCACTACGATGTTCACCTGCATTGTCTGGGCTGTCAACTGTCAGATTGCACTCACAATGAGTCATTTCACATGGATACAACATATTTTCATCTGGGGAAGTATTGCTAGTTGGTACCTGTTTCTTTTGATCTATGGTATGATAGCGCCAGATTATTCTAAATATGCCTTCAGAATCCTTGTGGAAGCTCTAGCTCCTGCTCCAGTCTACTGGTGTACCACCCTTTTAGTAATTGTTGTCTGCACCCTTCCCTACCTTGCACACATATCTTACCAAAGGTCATTCAATCCGATGGATCATCACATTATTCAAGAAATCATATATTACAAGAAAGACGTTAAAGATCATCATATGTGGAAGAGAGAACGGTCTAAAGCAAGACAGAGTACGAACATTGGGTTCACGGCAAGAGTAGATGCAAAAATTAGACAGTTGAGAGGGAGGCTGCACAAAAAGTATACCTCAATGGGTACCCAAATTGAATTAACACAACCATAGCTGTGCATTACTGATTTTTTCCTTTCTTTAGGGATTCTCTCCCTTTTTGATCACAAAAGAATGTAGGGTTTTTGCCATTTGCAATTCTTTTGCTGGCCCTTTTTTTTGACTTGTTTTTGTAAAATCATTTGTCTAGTGTAGGTCATTCGTTTGTTCCAAAGTTAGTGTGCTCACTGTATTGTACAATACTCATATGATTCAAGTACAGCTTGGGAAAGTAGCCAAATACATCATAGTCTTTTATTGTTCTCAAAACTGTTTGCTTTGTATATACTCTTATTCACACAACTTATGGATATTGATAATGATACACCTTGAAAATACTATATTATAGATCATATTTCATTTCTTTCTTATTTTTTGTTGGACCAACCTTATTCTTGGTTTCTTTAATTATTGTGATCATAACAATAATGTCTTCTTTTTAGGTCTACCAAACATACTGTGTATATAATCAATCAGCTCCTAACCTATATCTTAGATAATTAGTTGAGCTTACCTCATTGACTAAGCTTGCAGTGTGATTGTGACACTGAAATTTGGTTTTGTTGGCTAGTTTTAAAGACTTAACTTTCAATCTATCAACTTTCATATCAAACCTAGTACAATGAGCCACGCTTATTACTTTAGGTTGAACCAAACTACCCAACTCTTATTTTGCCTACTTATAGTTATATGTAATCCTTCGTTTCAATTTATTAGTCTTATTTTTCCTTTTTAGTATGTTTTAAGAAGAACATCCTCCTTTTTTGACAACTTCTTATATCAATTTTCTTTGTGACGTATTTAATATATGTATATTGACTAGCGACTATAAAATATTTCTGACTGAGCAACCAAATGTATAATTCCTCAGAGTTTGTGGTATGTAACATACACAAACACCAACTTAAATAGTCACACATTTTTTTTGCAAATAATCAAAGATTAGCTTAAAATAAAAGACGTAATACATAAATATGTCCTTTAATCCGGTCTCATATAACATTTATGTCTTCTAACTTTGGGTGTGTACAAGTAAAATTGAACAAGTAAACAAGCATATCCTATATAGCTCAGCGTCCTACGTAGTGTTCTACGTATAATATGACAATCTCGAATTTGTACTTAGCTAATCCAAATACCACCATTATAAAATAAAGGGAAAAAAGATAAATATACCTCCGAACCATCTATGCAGATACTCTCCGTCGGATTTTTGGGACATTGGTGCCCCTGCCGCAAAAAACTAGAGCATATATGCCCTTCACTCTAACGGAAAACTAAATAGGGACACGTGACACAATCTTATTCGTTGATCCGATATTTTAATAATGTCGAATCAGTGAATTAAATTATGACCCGTGTATATCCGTTAATATAAAGGATAAATATATTATAGTTTTTGAATGATACCCAAAAATATAACAGAAAGTATCTATGTACCATTTACCGTTGTTCCTAAAACAAAAAGATGGCCATAGCGATAGCCATGTTTTTTGGAAGTTTCTGATTGGAATACGTATGGGTCGACTATGAAATACACTGTATATTCATTCAGTTCCCTCTGACAAACTTCCAAACAACTCTCATTCAAATATATCTATAGCACTACGTACGACGCCGTATCATTGGGATCGAGGGGGTGGGTGGGGACAAGAAGATATTGCGAAAGCAAAAAGACAGAAAAAAACGTATATAGTATATATATAATTAATAATAATAATAGAAGGAAGAAATTGGGGTAAAGAGAGAGAATCAGGGCCAAATTATTCAAAATGGGATGATAATTAAGCATATGGTTGAAGCTGATGCTGCTTCATTTTGCACCTTCTTGAGGCCAAACTCATGAAGGAACAAAACCCCAAAAAAATTTATTCAAAAAGCTGAAATCTTGATGTTTTTTTGATTCATTTTCAATTGTATGTTGGATTGAATTTTTGAGGATTTGTGGGGTGAAGGTTTTTTCAAAATTTTTAGTCTCCGATGGAGCCTCGTGTTGGTAATAAGTTCCGGCTTGGCCGGAAAATTGGTAGCGGTTCTTTTGGGGAGATCTACCTCGGTATTTGAACCCTTCACGGTTTTTTTTTCAGGTTTTGTTTTTATTTTTTGGGGTTAATTTAATTGGTGATTTGTTTATATGTTCTTCAAGGTGGTAATGTTCAAACTAATGAAGAGGTTGCTATCAAGCTGGTAAGTTGAAATTCTGTGTGTGTGTGTGTGTTTTTTTTGTCTAAACTTGTTATAGGAGTATTGTTATGTTTTTTAATTGCTAAAGCATATGGTTTTGCTATGAATAAACTTGAGAATTTGTCATTGTTTTGATGATGGATGGTTTTTGGTTAGCAATTAAAACACAATTATACGGATGCGTGATCCGTGTGTTTAGTTGCTAATTGTTATTAGGGTGGAAGGGGGGAGATTAAGAACAACTAGATAGATACACAGTGTAATTCCATAAGTGAGATTTGGGGAGGGTAGGATGTATGCAGACCTTATCCCTACCTTTTGCGGGGAGAGGATTAAGCTTTATCTTTTAAAGAGAACATGTTTAGTTATATTTTATCATGCCTTCTCCAGTGCAAGTGTGGTCCTTTTCCATGGTGAGGCACTTGTAGCTGTCTTTTGATGAAGGTCATAGTAACATTGGAATTCAGGATCTTTGGTTGTTCTAATACCATGTTAATATGAGGATGCAACACTAAACTTAAGATAATAGGTGGAGTCATCCAAAACCGTCATAAACACCCCTGCATGTTGAAGACATAACTAAGCAAATAAACTTGTGCCCGCCCTCTGATTGCTTAGATTCTTAGATTAAAAAGGCTCTCACACTTAATAGGGTTTTGATCACTTTGTCATTTGGTCTTATGATCACAGTTTGGTTGAATGCGCTGTGTTTCAGGATGTTTTGTGAAGTTGTGAAATAACAACCAAGTTAGAGGAAATGTATAAATTTGTGAAGAATTAATGTCTTCACTGTTGTTACCTAGCCTACAATTTGAAACTCCAAGTGGTGAATTTGCATTAACTAAGCAAATTCGTGGTTTTGAAGATATTGCAACAGTTTCACTGCTTACATTTGTCTTTCTGGAATTTTGGAAAACTTGATATCTATTTTAAACTGAAGTTTTTTCCGTCTTGCTGATACTCATGACATCATTGTACTTCTGCAAATGCTTAGTCATTTGTGAACTTTCCTTCAATTGCGTCATAGATGATTTTTTTTTAGTTTGCAAGATTAACCTGCTGATTTTCTTATTTCTTCTACTCAGGAAAATGTGAAAACAAAGCATCCTCAACTATTGTACGAAGCAAAGCTGTATAAAATACTACAAGGAGGAAGTAATTTCTCATCTTCATGTTGCCTGTTCTTCCTTCATTTACTACTCAATGCTTATTAGTTGGATTTCTCTTTATATATTGGTAGCTGGAGTCCCCAATTTAAAATGGTTTGGAGTTGAAGGAGATTACAATGTCCTTGTGATGGATTTACTGGGACCTAGTCTTGAAGATCTTTTCAACTTCTGCAGTAGGAAGATGTCCTTGAAGACCGTTCTCATGCTTGCAGATCAGATGGTGTGTGATGTTTTGTACCACTTATTTATTCCAATAACAATTTAAAAACCTCTTCTCACCCTTATCAATTTTCAGATCAATCGGGTTGAATTTGTTCATGCCAAATCTTTTCTTCATCGAGATATAAAACCTGACAACTTTCTTATGGGATTAGGAAGACGTGCAAATCAGGTATTGGGATTAAAGCTCTTATTTTGCTGCTAAATTCACCTATTGCAGGCATGGTATCTTCATAACCACGATTAATTAATATAGGTCTATGTTATTGATTTTGGGCTGGCTAAGAAGTACAGAGACTCATCAACTCATCAGCATATTCCGTATAGGTCAGCTCCCTTGAAGCACTATGAGGTTGATATCTGTTTTGTTTAAGAAGATGAAGTACTCGAAATATGGATATTCATGCATATGAGATGCCTGTATGAGCTTTGTGTGGTGGTCTGTTTGCTCTTTCGCTATAGAGCAATAGAAAAGAGTGAATTCTTTCAGTTTGCATCATTTTTAAACTCCTATGAACCTATCCCCTCACTTTTTTTAATAATTGTGGACTTGTGGTGTCTGGGCAAAGCTTGCACACACCAAGTAATTCCACAGGGTACTTTCTACCTCCCACTAGCATAGAGCACCAGGTAACTCTGTCCACCAAGACTTGGACAAATGAGAAGAAATTACCTAGTGTTTTGATCATGTTCCAAAGCATGTGTCAGTATAGGTGCTTCCTTATTTTGTGGGGGGGGGGGGGGAGGGTTCTTTATGAATTAACAGGATATGAGAAGAGTAGAAACACACATTTTTATCTGTATTGCATGTAAGATAAGTCATCAAAGCTATTAAATGACTTCACAAAGGTATCAAAATGCATGAACTTTTAATCTGATTACTTAATCTCTGTTCGGGAATAGGGGCTGTTACTACTTTCATATTGTACACCTTCTCACTACTAACTTCTAGTCATTTTTTAACTATCCTTTCAATATGATCAAACTGTTTTTTTGGTTTGCCTGGCACTGCTGGTTAAGAGGAACGAAGCGACAAATGGGGTAGTTTAAACAAGAAATATTTTATCACTTCGTCAATGACTGAAAAATTTAATGATAGGGAGAAGAAACTGATATCCTTCTTAAATTTTTTCTTTAGTTAAAGCCTTAATATCCTAACCCTTTCTATTACTAACTTTGATTAGGTGATGGCATTGGAAAATGATTATTGTTCTAGTTTCCTTTGACTGGGACAGGGAAATATCAGTAAATGATATGGAACCAGATTTTGTTGATCTTTCCCAACTGTTTCGTTTTGGTCATTCGTCATACATTTAACTACTAGAAAGATTTGATGGCATCAAAGATGCAGTGCCATCATGCTTACCATAGAGGAATTGATCTCTTTATTTTGTAGAGCTTGTGCAATTCACAGAAACTTTAACAGTGAATCTGGAGATTTTTCTGTATTTTGTAAATTACAGTTGGTCATTTGTATTTCGAGCTTGTGAAGAAGTATATTTGTATGTTGAATCATGATTAATCACATTGGATGATTGTACTCTTAATTAGTCAATTATCTTACAATGAGATCATCCTCCAGGGCATGGATGTATGATTTGTTTTATTTTTAATGTGATACAGAGAAAATAAAAATTTGACAGGAACTGCTAGATATGCAAGCATGAACACTCACCTCGGCATTGGTAAACTTTTGTTTTATTTTGCCAATTTGTTCCCAATTGTTTATGTGGACTGTTTACTCTGTGTTGTCTATGAACCATATAGAACAAAGTCGAAGGGATGATTTGGAATCATTGGGTTTTGTCCTGATGTACTTTTTAAGAGGAAGGTAAATAGTTCTCCCTCCCTAGATTTTCTTTTATTTAGTGTCTTTACTTTTCTTTCATGGTAATCTTACATTATGCTATCAAAAACATGTAGTCTCCCTTGGCAGGGGCTGAAAGCAGGCAATAAGAAACAGAAGTATGAGAGGATCAGTGAGAAAAAGTTTCAACGTCAATAGAGGTAATTTATGTTCCTCCAATTTTCATATGCTAGCTATTTAGTTTGTTATTCACTAAAATGATGCTAGCGCAAATTTTCCTATATAGACCTTGTGTCGAGGCTATCCTGCAGAGTTTGCATCATATTTTCATTACTGTCGATCACTGAGATTTGATGATAAACCAGATTATGCTTATCTCAAGAGAATTTTCCGTGACCTTTTCATTCGTGAAGGTATGATCATTTTTGCTTTCCATGCCTTTTCTATTTCATCTGTACAGACATATTACAACAAGTACCTCAATTTCAATGTTCTCAGAGTGTCTTCCGTTTTCCTTCCCTTTATTCCTTTTTCTTTTTCCCATCTATTCTAGGGTTTCAGTTTGATTATGTATTTGACTGGACCATATTGAAATATCAGCAATCACAGCTTGCCAATATTCCATCTCGTGCTCTTGTAAGTGACTTAAATATATTAGCTTATGCCATTGGTCTCAAAGTATAAACATGAAATGATGATTTTGGACAGGGCGGTACTGCTGGGCCAAGTTCAGGGATGCCTCATGGTCTTGCTAATGTCGAAAAGAAATCAGGTATGTTCGATCTCAACACCCCCCTCCCCCACCCACATAAAAGAAGGAAAGATTAACAAGAAAAAGTTAATTGGATGACTAAGCAATCAGTTTTACATATAAGTGAAAAGTTACAATTGGAATCCATTTCAATTGGTCCATTATATCATTTATTTTGGATGGCATGCCAGCTGTTCTGTTCAGGAAAGTACATTACCTCTAAATATGCTAGCTTCTTTTTCTCTGGGAGCTATATGTGCTTGCTACTCAATATGCAGGTGGTGAAGAAGGACGGCCAACTGGTTGGTCTTCATCAAATCTGACACGTAATAAGAGCACAGGGCTCAATTTCAATTCTGGAAGCTTATTGAAGCAAAAAGGCACAGTTGCTAATGATTTGTCCATGGGTAAAGAGGTTAGTCCTCTTCTCCCCCCCCCCCCCCCCCCCTCCCTTCTCCATCTCCCTATTGTTTTTACCCTTTCTCTTGGTTGGGATGTGTTTGGGGAAGTGTAGTACTATTGCATATAAATTCTGTGGCAACTTTACTTATTACAAAATCGATGCGAGTGCATTTGACTTTATCCAGATATAGGACAAAAATTCTTTTGCAATCTTGATTTGTCAAAGTACCTCGGCATGAGGAATTAGATGCAGTTTCCAAAGTATAAGCAAAAAATTCTTGAACTTGTGTGGCAATTTCAATTTACGGAGTACTTCACCAAGTAGAGAGGATAAAGTGTGCATTCTCTTAAGTAAAACTTTCTTGAATCAATTTTACATTTTATGTTATCCTGAAAATAATTTGATGTATAGCAGGTAGTCTGCAATTCTTCTTTCTCAAAAAAAAGAAAAAGAAAAAAAGGGTAGGCTGCAACTCTTTCTGGTGCTCTGGGTTTTTCTTTTGGGTGAGGGGATGCAGAATAGATGTGTAAGGATAGAAGTGGAATAATTAGAGGATGAAATGTTGTGCAGCTAGCTCTCATGTGGGTTCTTTGGAGGGACAGAAACAGGAGATTTTTTGAAGCAAAGGAAGATGACTCTGTAAAGCTTAGGGTTTATCTTTCATTTTGCTCAACTTTTGGAGTGCCCACGAAGTTCCTATAGGCATAGATGATTGAGAGTCTTCAATAAAGAACCATGTTTTATGAACCTATTCTGATTAGGAATTATCCGTTGTAACGCAAAATTCTTGGATCATATCAATGGGTGCACAACTGCATATTTCTCTGGACCATCATAGTGTACTTGCACATATCTATTCAGAGGAAGGTCTTTTCATGATGATCCTCAAACTATAATGATGACTGATGGAAGAAATATGAAACATATAAAAAATTCTCGCTGATGGAAATAGACCCGACGGAGATACCTCTTGTATACTGGGGTTTCCTCCACAACATTAGCAAAATACTACTTCCATAAAAGGAGTGGAAGTGGAGTAAAATAGAAGTAGCTAAAAGGCATTGAACCCCCACCCAAAATAAACACCCTTCTCTCTGTCTGCTGCCTTTTGAATTACCTTCACTGAGTGGCACTGATGATTGCCTATAGGTTAAGAGGGCCAAAAAGGTGGTGTTGGTTCGTCTATATGACAGAAATAGATGGTGACTGCACAATTAGGGGTAGCATTTATCTTTTTCTCTTCTAATGTTACCTTTACCTCTATTACTTCCACATATTTGTGCTTGCCCTTCATGGAACGTGAGAATAATTTGTATTCGTTTGGTAGTTCTTGAATATAATGGCCAACCTGAGAGCAAATCGGTGGTATACACTAAGAAACAGAATTTAGTACAACGAAGGATCTGTCATGCTTATACTTTGGGGAATGTGGTCGAAATTTACTCTTGTTTTATGACCTATATCTAGCAGTAAACACTACAGACTTTGACTGAGTTTGTTTTGCAGTTACCTAGTTCTAATTTTTTCCAGTCAAGTGGATCAGCAAGGCATCCTAATGTCTCTAGCAGTCGAGACCCAGTGATTGCTGGGGGTGAACCTGACCTCTCCCGCAATCAGACACTAGACGCAGCAGGCGCACAATCTCTGCGTAAAATATTCAATGCTGCACAGAAGACTTCACCAGTTGTGTCCTCAGATCACAAGCGCAGCTCCTCCACAAGAAACACAAACCTAAAGAATTTAGAGTCTGCCATCAAAGGAATAGAGGGTTTAAGCTTTCGATGATGACAGACTGGATTAGTAGCTCTGCTTTGTCACAATTCCCCTTCTACTGTATATTTTGGCACATCAAAACACACCAACTTGGCGGAGTACAAGTTTTGATATTAGTTGTTTCCAGCAGGAACCATAAGCAATGCAACCCCCGCAAACTCACAAATCCCAGCTTATGTTTGTCCATACAGACAGACCGTTATAGGCACTTTGCATACTCTTTTTCGTCTCTTATCTCTCCTGTTCTTGTTCAATCGTGTTCTTATTTACGTTATGTTGTGAATTATGAAGAGCCTCATGTAATTGCCGATTTATATATTCTACAAGATGTTTGATGCTAGCAGATTCTTTTGCTTTGGACATGGACAAACCCTTCTTTGTTCAAGCTATCTAAATATCAATCAGGTGTCTGTGTGGTCATTTACTCAGTTAGCAGTCTTAGTGGGCTTTTGCTCATTAAAATTGTGAAAATTGGACAAATGTAGTACTTGTTTTTAAGTTAAAAATGGTATTTGAAATGGAAGTTGTGTTGGAAAAGTGTGACAATTAAAAACAGTTTTCTGCCTCAATCAAGTAGTAAAAAAAGGTTGCAAGTACAGTCATTCTATGCAAAATGTAAGAACCAGACGTATCATTCATATAATGAGTTGTGTTGGCTTGACTGAAATCTCTTCCTTCTTTCAGTTTGTTTGGATAATTGTTACCTATTGTTTTGTATTGTATTGTATTATATCGTATTGTAGTGTATTATTTTTATTATTTTAATGGCAACAAGTTTACAACATTTAGATATATTGTATAGTTCTTTGTCGTTACGTAATGTCACACATTAATAATTTGAATGATAAACCTATAAGAAAAGTAAGATATGAATAAATCTACTAGGAAAAAGTACGGTAAGGTATAAAATAGAATTATTAAATAATACATAAAGATAAAATGATAAGAAAATATTAGGTAACAACATGATCACACCAAATCGATCCTTACATAAAATGAGACTTTTTGTTGTTACCTAACGTTAGATTCAAATGATATAGTATAATATAGTTTAAGTAAGGGAAGGTACATAAAAACACCCCTGAACTTGACAACAAAACTTACTTTAACACTTTAACTTTACGGGTAATTATTTACCCCCCTAATCTTATTACAAGTGAATTTAATATCACCCGAATGGCTGACGTGACAAATTTCAAAAATATCAGCGCGTAAATAAAGAAAAAATAAATTAAATGGAGCCCTTTTTTTCCCTTTCCAGCCAATACTATTTTTTCCCATTTCTTCTTCTTCTTCCTTGCACCCATCACCCCAAACCCAACTCATTTCTTTTCTTTTTAATTATTTCTTCTTCCTCACAACCTGCACACCCTCTCCTCTCGTTCCTCTATGCATCCTTTATCTCCGATTTTCTCCTTCTTCTAAGTAGTTTATATTTATAATAAAAGAGAAAATTTCAAATCAAAATAGCAAATCTTTAAAAAAATTCAACTATGATTTGATTAATAAAGAATTAAAAAAGGGTCAGAACCTTAAAAAATAATTAATCATCGAACTTTAAACATTACTTATTCTATACTTGGATATGTATTAGGAAGTTAAACAAGAATATTAACAATAAATCTAAAAAGTTAAGCACACTGATTTTGCACAAATCTGAAAGCGCGCCATTGTTGATATAAGTTGAAGCTTCACTTAGCTGAAAAAAGAGATTAATGGAAGTAATAATAAATCATTACAAAGTAATGAAAATAGAATGAATTGGTCAGAATTTTAGAAGTTAAGAAATTGACCCAAATGAAATAATGAAGATGATGGGTGAATAGTGAAAATAATTTTTTTTTTTAAATGTAGGGAAATAAAAATAAAGAAAAAGTATTTTTTTTTTCAATTATCCGACGTGTCATCGATGTGGCATAGAGGTGGCGCTTAAGTGGCGCGCGTGCATTTCACCCATAAGAATGAAACTGGTATTGTATGTGTAAGGTGCTATTAAATTCACTTGAAATAAGTTTAGGGGGTAAATAATTATCCGTAAAGTTAAGGTGCTAAAGTGAGTTTTGCTGCCAAGTTCGAAGGTGTTTTTATGTATTTTCCCTTTAAGTAACAATAAAAACAAACATGTTATTTAAACTAACGATACGATACAATAGGTAACAATCATCCAAACAAAGTGTTAATCAAAGATTTTGGATGGTTAGAGCCCCAAAAAGGGGGGCAAGACATGTTGAAAGCATCGCCCTCAGAAATAAGTCATTCAAGCAGAATATGAATATAGATATCGAATGAAAAATTAAAAAAGATAAAAAAAAAAGAAAAAAAAGAGAGGAGGTTGTGGAATTCAGTGAAGTTTTCCAGTACAATGAATGCACATGTTTTGTGGGACTCAAAATATCTGTCTACTGATTCTGTTTTACTCTTTTTCAGCAAAAGACAGACTGCCAATTAAACAATTTATTATAGTACTCTACATTTAATTATTGAAAGAGACAGCCTTCTTAAACCAATTTCACTCCAACTGTTATTACTCTTTTTATTTTTTGACAAAATTCATCGTTAGATTTTTATTTAGAAAAATGAAAATCCAATAAAAGAAATTAATTTAAATCCTTGTTGAGATTTATTTTCTAAAAAAGAATATGTCCTAAATCCCTTCATTTAAAAAATAAAATTATCGTTTAAATACTATAAGACAACTTTTGATTGGTAATAAATCAAATCTTATAAATTGAAAGCGGCAACAACTATTTTAATTGGAATTATCAGTAATAGTAGCCAATAAATACTGTAACTGAACCAATGTTCTGAATTAATTTCTCTATCTGCCAACAAAAAACTAAATAATTATTAATAAAATTAAATTGAAGAATCGAACCAATGTAAGTAACTACTACCTGTTGCTTTTCATCAATAAAACTCTATTAGTTAAGATTCGAACAAATAAAAAAAATCACCTAATATTAATGCTTTAATTGGAATTTGCACCTAAAAGATTTTATTTTTATTTTCAACCACTTTATTGATCAGTAGATCGCACCTTGTCAAGTATAGTCAAAATTGGAAGAGGAGAACAATTTGTTACATTAAGATAATGAATTTTTACAAGATCACAACAATCTGAGTTCATGGGGCTCTCAGATCATTCTTGATAAAAAGGGGGAAAAAAGAAAAAAACTGTCTCTAATTAACAAAAGATTAAACGCATAATTATGAAAAGACAAATGAAAAACAAACAATTAAGAAAATTACCAACCAGCAACAAACATATCCAGTATAATCCCATTGATAAGATTTGAGAATGATAGAATGTATATAGACCTCAATTCTATCTCGTGGAGAGGTAGAAGTTAAAATAGTTGTTTCTGAAAAACCCTCGGCTGATAATTAATGACCACTCACCATAATCCATGTACAACATGATTGCAAGTATTCTTGATCCACTTAAAGCTCTTTCTAAGTGTACCTTTCATCTTACCTTCCACACCATAAGCTTTATATCCAACAACCCTTTTCTTCCTTTGCATTTCTGGATCATTAATACTCCAATTCTTCAAAGAAGATGATGAAATCACTTTGCTTTTGCTCCTCTTCATCTTCACTTCCTTATAATCATTATTATTATTACTAGAAGTTGTTGCATGTGAATTAGTACTATAACTTCTCAAATCTTGCATACTAATTGGACCTCCCCTTCTTTCTCTTGTTGAGTTTGATCTAAAATTCTCCATTTTGGGACACAACAAAAAGAAAAAAAACAAGGATTAATATCTAGGCTTTGCTTCAAATTTAAGTTTGGAATAAGTATTAAGGACTAATTGGCCTAGGAATAGCTCAATGTGGTGCTTTTAATATTTTTGAGTATTACCACCCACCAACCTTAAAGGTGTGTGATGATTTTTTTCAATGATGCAATGAGGCTGGAAAAATTAAATGTTGTAGCCCACTATTTGAATGTTCATGGCGCATGGCCTGTTAAGTGTATCATTCTTTCACAATCACATGCCATTTGTATAATTGATGGTCAATGTTGACTGTTGTACCAAATAACTTACTTTTTAATCGGGCTCCAATACGAATATTGAATAAGAGAAATGATGGATAAGCCTCTAGAAATCAAAATGGTTATGGTGCAGTGATGAGACTGTTTCACCCTTCGAGCCTTGTGTATGAAAAAGATTATGTTGAGAGCATCACTATCGAATGAGCCCTAGTACAATCCAAATTTAATCGGGGCTCGAATGTAAGCTTCAGGACACCGAATGAAAACAAAAAAAAGCCTCTAAAAGTGACTTGATATGACATTATTATTTGAAGATTTCCAGAGTTTTTCAATACAAGAAAACTTGAAATACCTTTTAGCAATTTGTTGGTCTATTGAACACAATTTAATTAACGCTTTGCACATGAAAGTTTGTTTTCACATGTAGAGTTGTACCAACTAATTTATGTTGACATGTAACTCTTCTGTTCCGTTTCAATTTGTTCAATCTTATTTTTATTTTTAGTTTAATTACCAAAAAAAAATAATTAAATAATTACTAGTAAATTTTATATACTTTAAAACGCAAGATTCAAAAGTTTTTTTTCTTTTCTTTTATTTTATGTCAAGTGAAAATCAAACAAATAAATTAAAATAGTAGAAATTATATATATATAGAGTACTTCAATAGTAAGTCCTTTGAAGGGTCAGAAGCCCCAACTTGTCATATATATTCCCTCAGTCAAAATTTATTTATTGGTTGTGTTAAATATAAATATTTATTTTTATTTGTTTGATTTAAAAACTCAAAAAACATTAGTACTTGATTCCTAATTTGCCCTTATCATTAACTATTATTATTTTCTAGTTCATTTTCTAAATTATTAAATTTATTGCATTCAAATGATGATATAATAAAATTATTGTTCTATTTATTTAAAATGTGTATCAAGTTAATACTGGACGATTAAAACTAAAAAGAGAAAGTACTAACAAAGAATTAATCAATCACATACATTGAATACCACATTTTTGGTGTATGCAATGCATTTCAAGTGTGCCAAGCGAAATTGTGCAACTGACAATTCGAAAATCGTTTGTTCTCTTTTTCTTTGTGGATACAGAATAAAAACTTTAGCTAAAAAGATCCAAATTAAACTTTGTATAATGAGGTTAAATTTTCATTATAAATGGCAGTAGTACTAATTACATTCACTAATTACA